TTAAAGTTTTTATAAATTTACTTAACAAAATTAACCATTAAAAAATGAACAGTTCAGTGGCATTTAGTACCTTTGTATTGTGCAGCTACCAACGCGCTCTCTTTTTCTAGCATTTTCATCACCCCCAAAGGAAACCCCATACCCATTAAGTACTTGCTCTTCACTCACACCTCCCCAGCCCCTGATAACCACCAGCTTGTGTTCTGTCTCTGTGGATACCTGTTCTAGATATATCATATAAATGGAATTGTCTCACTCCATCCAGTGTTGCCATAAAGGAATACCTGAGGCTGGGTAATTTATAAGGAAAAAGGATTTATTTGGCTCACAGTTCTGCAGGCTGTACAAGAAGCATGGTGTCAGTTATCTGCTTCTGGTGAGGGCTTCAGGCTGCTTCCACTCACAGTGGAAGGTGAAGAGGAGCTGGTGTGTGCAGAGAGCAGGTAGGAGTGCAAGGGGAGGTGTCAGGCTCTCTTTTTATTATAATAATCAGCTGTAGTAGTAGAGTGAAACCCCATCTCTATGAAAAATGTATAAATTAGCCAGGCATGGTGGTGGGCATCTGTAATCCCAGCTACTCGGGAGGCTGAGGCAGGGAGAATTGCTTGAACCCGGGAGGCGGAGGTTGCAGTGAGCTGAGATGGTGTCACTGCACTCCAGCCTGGGTGACAAGAGTGAGACTCCATCTCAAAAAAAAAAGAATGAAGCTCTCAACACTGTTGTCCTGGCTGTAATGAGTAAGTTTTCACTCTACTACTACACTGTTCATGAGAGATCTGCTCCTGTGACCCAAACACCTCCCATTAAGCCTCACCTTAGGCATTGAGGATCCAATTTCACCATGAGATTTGGAGAGTCAGATACCCAGATTACAGCAGGAGTCATACAACATGTGACCTTTTGTGTCTGGCTTCTTTTACTTAGCATAATGTTTTTAAGATTCATCCGTGGTGGTGTGGCATATATCAGAATTTCATTCTTTTTTTTTGAGATGGAGTCTCGCTCTTGTCACCCTGGCTGGAGTGCAGTGACACGATCTCAGCTCACTGCAACCCCCGCCTCCTGGGTTCAAGCAATTCTCCTTGCCTCAGCCTCCCGAGTAGCTGGGATTACAGATGCCCACCACCACACCTGGCTAATTTATATATTTTTAGTAGAGACGGGATTTCACCATATTGGCCAGGTTGGTTTTGAACTCTTGATGTCAGGTAATCTGCCTGCCTCAGCCTCCCAAAGTGCTGGGATTACAGGAAAGAGCCACTGCGCCCAGCCAGAATTTCATTCCTTTATTGTAGCTGAATAATATTCCACTGTGTGTATATACCACACACAGTGTCCAGATGAATGGACACTGTGTGTACAGTGTCCAAACTGTGTGTACAGTTTGTTTATCCATTCATCTGGACGTTTGGATTATTTCCATCTTTTGGCTATTGTGAGTAGTGCTTCTGGAAGCATGCATATACACGTATTTGAGTCTCTTTTTCAATTCTCTTGGGCATACACCTAGGAGTAGAATTGCTGGGTCATATGGCAATTCTATGTTTAACTTTTTGAGGAACTGCCAAACTGTTTTTCACAGTGGCTGAGTCATTTTACCTTCCTAGCAACAATATATGACGGTTCCAATTTCTACATATCCTCACCAGCACTTGTCATTTTCCATTATTTTGATTATAGATAGTTTAGTGGGTGTGAAATGGCACCTTATAGTGGTTTTGATTTGCATTTCCCTAAGTGACTAATGATGCTTATGTGCTTGTTAGCCAGTTCTGTTTGTTAGCCATTTATATTTCTTTGGAGAAAGGTCTGTTGAAGCCCTTTTCCTNTTTTTTTTTTTTTTTTTTTTTTTTTGAGACAGAGTCCTACTTTGTCGCCCAGCCCAGGCTGGAGTGCAGTGGTGTGATCTTGGCTCACTGCACCCTCTGCTTCCCAGGTTTAAACAATTCTTCTGTCTCAGCCTCCTAAGTAGCTGGGATTATGGGTGCTTGCCACCATACCCAGCTACTTTTTATATTTTTAGTGGAGATGGGGTTTCACCATGTTGGTCTGGCTGGTCTTGAACTCCTGAAATCAAGTGATCTGCCCGCCTCAGCCTCCCAAAATGCTGGGATTACAGGCGTGAGCCACCGTGCCCGGCGCCTTTTCCCATTTTAAAATCAGGTTCAACTGGGTTCTGTGGCTTACGCCCATAATCCCAGCTATACAGGAGGCTGAGGCAGAAGGATCGCTTGAGCTCAGTAGTTTGAGGTTACAGTGAACTGTGATTGTGCCACTGCAGTCCAACCTGGGCGACAGAGGAAGACCCAGTTTCTTAAAAAATAAAAAAAAATTAGATTGTCTTAAGGGCTAATATCTGAATCTACAAAAAACTTAAACAAATTTACAAGAAAAAAACAACCCATCTAAAAGTGGACAAAGGATAGGAACAGACACTGCTCAAAAGAAGACATTTATGCAGCCATCAAACATACAAAAAAAAGCTCATCACCACTGGTCATTAGAGAAATGCAAATCAAAATCACATTGAGATACCATCTCACACCAGTTAGAATGGCAGTCATTAAAAAGTCAGGAAACAACAGATGATAGAGAGGATAGTGGAGAAACAGAAACACTTTTACACTGTTGGTGGAAGTGTAAATTAGTTCAACCATTGTGGGAGACTGTGGCGATTCCTCAAGGATCTGGAACTAGAAATACCATTTGACCCAGCAATACCATTTGGGTATATACCCAAAGGATTATAAATAATTCTACTATAAAGACACATGCGCATGTATGTTTATTGCAGCACTGTTCACTATAGCAAAGACTTGGAACCAACCCAAATGCCCATCAAATATAGACTGGCACATATACACCATGGAATATAATGCAGCCATAAAAAAGGATGAGTTCATGTCTTTTGCAGGGACATGGATGAAGCTGGAAACCATCATTCTCAGCAAAGTAACACAAGAACAGAAAACCAAACACCAAATGTTCTCACTCATAAGCGGGAGTTGAACAGTGAGAACCCATGGACACAGGGAGGGGAATATCACACACCAGGGCCTGTTTTGGTGGGGAGACTAGGGGAGGGACAGCATTAGGAGAAATACCTAATGTAGATGACGGGTTGATGGGGTGCAGCAAACCACCATGGCACATGTATACCTATGTAACAAACCTGAATGTTCTGTACATGTACCCCAGAACATTATAATAACCAAAAATTAGATTGTCTTTTTGTTGTTGAGTTGGAAGAATGCTTTATATATTCTGGATACTAGACCCTTATCAGATAAATTACTTGCAAATATTTCTGCCATTCTGTAGTTTTCTTTTCCCTTTTCTGATAGTGTCCTGTGATGCACAAAAGTTTTTTAATTTGATGAAGCCCAGTTTATTTTTTTCTTTTGTCATCCATGTTTTTGGTGTCATATCTGAGGATCCATTGCCAAATTCCAGGTCATGATCCATTTTGTGTTAATTTGTGTATATGATAGGAGATAGTAGTCTATCTTCATTCTTTTGCATGTGGGTATTTTATTGTTCCAGCATCATTTATTGAGGGGACTTTCTCTATTGAATGGTCTTGGCATCTTGTGGAAAATCACTTGGCTGTAGATGTGTTGGTTTATTTCTGGGGACTCAGTTTTATTCTTGCCATTTGCCTTTGTATGGGCTGAGTTTCTTGTTTTTCTTCTTTTGATAACAGGATCATGGGGTTGACAGCAGCATTTTCCAGAATCCTAAAAAGCTTCATCTAACTATTGGGATGTTGGTGCTTTTGAGTGAGGAAGAGATCCAGCAGACATGTGAGATGCTACAGCAGTGTAAAGAGGAATTCATTAAGTGAGTATCCTCAGGGATGGGAATGGGTGGTCTACCTGGCCTGGCATCTTTTTGGTATTACAGACTTATTTTTGAACTAGAGGCTGGATGACATGGGAAGGACTCATGTGATTTGATGGAGCCCACTCAGGTAATCCAGGATAACCTGTCATGTCAGATTCCTTAACCTTAATCACATCTACAAAAGTCTCTTTGCCATGTAAGATAGCATATTTATAAATTCCAGAGAGTGGGACATCATCTTTGGGGGTCATTATGCTATCTATCACAGTAACTCAAACATTGTAACATGATTCTCTAGGAAAGTCTTCATTATATTTCAGAAACACTGACTTAAAAAAAAGAAAAGCAAATAATTTTATTTGATTTGGCAAGAATTTTAAAAAATTTCAACTTTTTATATTAAATTTTTTTTTTTTGTAGGGATGGGGTCTTGCCCTGTTGCCTAGGGGGGTGTCAAACTTCTGGTCTCAAGCAACCCTCCTGCCTCGGCCACTCCCTGGCTGGGCGTGGCAGGAGTGAGCTTCTATGCCTAGCCAGTTCAGCAAGGATACTAGAAACAGTCTGAGCAATCTGTTTTGACTCAGGGAAAGCATTACAGCTAGTGCTTGACTTACGACCATGGTCAGGACCGCCGACTGGTCATAACACAATTTGGTTGTAAGTTGAGTAGGTTATATGGACAGTTGAAATAGTGCACGTGGAGATGGTAGTGCTGCTGGAAGCTGGTCCGCACTGTCGTACGCCCAGCTGGGCAACGTTTGCGCTGCCAGACACGGAGAAGTCGTGGCTAGCGATTGTGGTCGTAAAATTGAATGGTCGTAAGTTGCATAGGTCGTAAGTCGATCAATACCTGTACTATTCTGAGGGCAGAGTTGTTATTCATTTTTACTGTAAAATTTTAATTTATACATACATCTGACATAACAGCTTTATTTCAAAGAACCATATCTTCCCGTTTACCTTTATTTTCTTCCTTTTATGTAAGATTTATAGGAGAGAAATTTGAAAGCCAATTCACTCAAATAGTTCTTTTATTCCATTATTGTAGGCAGGCCCTGTGCTATTCTAACATGGTCTTGTAGAAATGGCTTACCTGGTTCATTGGGTAGAACAAGGTAAAAGGATCTACAATTTTTCTCTAGTTATGTTGTATGTGAAACTGTGTAATATAAGCACTTTATGGGCCTGTTATCCTTTTCCACAAATTGTTTCAAAGACAAGATGTTTTTCTTGAGCAAGTTCATAAGCTGATAAGATTTGCAATCTATCTTTTCTGCATCTCAGAGAGCAAAGACCACTTCTTGTCTTATTCTTTTGCTCAGTAATGGACAGATCTGTTTTCTCTAGATCTTACCTAAAATTCAAAATAATTTGGTGTTTGTCATTAGTTACTTGTCATTTTCCTTATATAAAGGAAAAGGTTATGCTTTATTTTACAAAGCAGAGCAGTTTTGCCTGGTTTAAGGATCAGTTCTGATACTTGAACTTATTCCCAGTTTACTTTTTGCTAAACTAAACTGAAAGCTGCTGAGTTTTCTTGGGTGCCATTGGGATAACCCTGCTAAGAAAAAATTTAAAGGTAGATAAAATATTTGTTTAGAGAGGTATTTGTTCTTTTTACCTTATGAAAATCAGGTCACAGGTTTTTAGTCAGTGAAGCTTTATCCTAAGCTATGTGAAGATTTAGCTGGGTTCTTCCCTTTTATGTCTCTTGGTGCCTTTTGTGACTGAATGCCAAATCTGAGCCCTTTAAGCATGTCAGAGTTAGTGTGCCTGGGGAATAAAGAGCAATCTTAATAGTTCCTCAGAATTTTTGACATGACAGTATGAAAACAGTAATTGTAGTTTTTCAAATTCAGCAAAGCTTTTGAAATAGGACAAAGTTTCCCTGCCAAAAATCTGCAGTGCATGCAAAAATTTGTTTAAAAATGCTCTTTTTAAAAAGCTGGGAAGATGTGAAACCAGCGAGTAAAATGAAGCAAGCTTCCCCAACCTTCTTCTCCTAATTTTCCTCGTCACATGCATTTGTTTAAAAAGTGAAAAGTAAGAAGTGCAAAATTGATTTACTTCTGAGAAGAGACTAATTCTTAAAAAAACAAAAAGGGTACTTCTATTAAAGCTCTGGTAAGTCAGTCAGTCAAATTGAATCATCTAATTTTTTCCTGCCGTTTGACCTTAGTCTTTGTGCTTGGTATATTTAGAAAAAATGTCAGTAAATAATGGCATTTCTAACCTGAACCTTTTATGGTATAGTGATCTGAAATTAAAACATGAAAAGGACAACACTGAAAAATGAATAGATCTGTACATAGTTTGCTGTAGTTTAATTTGATGGTTTTTAAAATTGGCGTATTAAAATAAATGTGGCTATATTGGAATTTGATTAAAACTGTGGTGCTATATTAACGAAATGAGTAGTTGAATATTTATCTTTTATTATACTTTAAGTTCTGGGGTACATATGTAGATCGTGCAGGATTGTTACATAGGTATACACATGCCATGGTGGTTTGCTGCATCCATTCCCCTGTCACCTACATCAGGTATTTCTCCTTATGTTATCCCTCCCCAATCTCCCCACCCCCTGCTATCCCTTCCCTAGCCCCCCTACCCCACAACAGACCCCATTCTCAGCCAACTGACATGAGATCAGAAAACCAAACACCGCATGTTCTCACTCATAAGTGGGTTTTGAACAATGAGTAGTTGAGTATTTGTTATAAATTTGGGGGTAGTGTTTTAATTTGAAGGATGTGATGAGACCAAAACCAGGATTTTTGTTTCAATTTTTCAGTGAAAGGCTCATGTAGCTCTATAGATTGTGAATTAATTATTCAGTGTTTAGTAAATCCGGACACTCCGGCTGTGTCCCTGGTGCCTTTTCTTTGTGAGAGGTAGGACACAGACCATGCACTCGCTCTGAGTCTGGAGTCTGACAGATGTGCAGCTCTTCAGTCCCAGCAGCACCCTCCTGTGCCTCAGTGTTCCCAGCAGGCCTGACGTCAAACCAGAGAAGTTTAAAAGGGACTAGAAAGAAGAGAGAAAATACCCATGAGCAAACATTAATGCCTAATTATTGCCTCACATGTCATCAGTTGGAAAGTAATTTGCTTACTGGTGTCCCAGATGTAATTGTTTGGCCAAGACAAAGAGTATTTATCGGGCAAACCACTGGATTTCCATCCTGCTTTTTAATCTCCCTCTTGATAAACCTTAGGGGTAGGTTGAAAGAGTGTTTCTGCTCATAAAGGAGGCTTTGGATCCTGTTTCATTGTATCTTTTTTTATTTTTATTTTTTGTTCTTGGCACCCCATCTAATTCCAACTTTTGTTTTAAGGCAGTACCACATTTTAACTTAGTGACAATATAGCATGCGTATTATGCTGTTCTTTCATTATTGCTATAAAGAAATACCCGAGACTGGGTAGCTTATGAAGAAAGGAGGCATAATTGGCTCATGGTTCTGCAGGCGTTGCAAGAAGCATGCTCGGCTTTTAGGGAGGCCTCAGGAAGCTTCAATGATGGCAGAAGTTGAGGGGATCAGGCATGTCACATGGCAAAACCAGGCACAAGCAACAGAGAGTGGCGGTGGTGGTGCCACACACTGAAACAACTAGATTTTGTGTGAACTCAGAATGAGAGCTCATTTATCACCAAGGGAATGACCCAAGCCATTGACAAGAGATCTGCCCCCATGATCCCAGCACCTCCCACTAGGCCCCACTTCCAACATTAGGGGTTACAATTCAACAGGAGATTTGGGCAGGGACACATATCCACACTATTTAATATATCAGCATGTGACCACATTCTTCTCAAAATTGTTCAGAACAGCTTCCCCCTTAAAACATCTATTAAATGTTTACCAGAAATATATTGAACACCCATTTTGTATAAGGCATAGTGTCAGGTTTTGAGGCTATAGATGTGGATAAGATAGAGAAAGTGCCTATCGTCCTGGGGTTTGGAGAAGGCTGTGCAGTGAGCTGATTTTTAATTGGGTTTCAGCATGGTGCAACAAGGCCTTTTCTGATTGCAATACAGATTTCTATAATAAGGGGTTCAGGAAGAAAACAGAATGGTGGGGCTTAACACAAAGGGAATACATGTTAATTTTAGGAAAGCCAGGAATTACACATAAACAAAAATAAAATACCACTTGTAATCTTGCCACTTAAAAATAATTACCATTAATACTTTGGATGCATATATGTATGTTTTTCCTTTGAGGTATAATTTACTTACAGTAGGCCGGGCGCGGTGGCTCAAGCCTGTAATCCCAGCACTTTGGGAGGCCGAGGCGGGTGGATCATGAGGTCAAGAGATCGAGACCATCCTGGTCAACATGGTGAAACCCCGTCTCTACTAAAAATACAAAACATTAGCTGGACATGGTGGTGCGTGCCTGTAATCCCAGCTACTCAGGAGGCTGAGGCAGGAGAGTTGCCTGAACCCAGGAGGCGGAGGTTGCGGTGAGCCAAGATCGCGCCATTGCACTCCAGCCTGGGTAACATGAGTGAAACTCCGTCTCAAAAAAAAAAAAAAATTTACTTACAGTAAAAATGCACAGCTCTGATGTGTAGTTGATGAGCTTTGACAAATGTCTGTACCTGTGCAACCTCACCCCAATCAAGACGTGGAACACTGCCATCACCCCTGAGGCTCCCTCATGCCTTTTTCCAGTGAATTCACTTCTAGAAGCAACCTGTCTTCTGATTTCTATTACCATAGATTTGGTTGGTTTGCTTTTTAATGTCCTATAAGTAGTTATTCAATATATACACTTTTGTGTTTCATTTATTTTGCATATTTTTAAAAATTTTAACTTGTTAGTGGATAATACATTTACATAGTTCAGAAACTTAAGGGTACAAAGGATATGCAGTGCAGTTTCCCTACCAGTGAGATTCATCAACTACCTGCTTTCCTCTCTAAGGCAAGCAGTGTACCACTTTCTCTCTGTGTCCTTTCAGGAATTTTATAGATGTATAAACAAACATATATATTATTTATATATATATATATATCTATGTTTATACATCTATAATATATATCTCACAGATATATATTTTTCTCACCTCTATCTTTTGTACAAGTAGCGTAGCGTGCACTTTGTTGTAGACCTTTTTTAAAACTTGGAAATATTTTTATATCAGTTTTATATACCATTTTATATCATACCTAAAAGCTTCCTTAGTCATATGTATAGTTTATTTATTGGTCATACATAGTATTATAGTTTAATCATTGCCATGCTATTTGACTTTTATTCTGTTCCCAATCATTTGGTGCTCCAAACAAAACTTTATGCCTCATTTAAAACCGTATGCCTAGGCCAGGTGCAGCGGCTCACACCTGTAATCTTAGAACTTTGGGAGGCCAAGTTCGGGACTAGCCTGGGTAACATGGCAAAACCCAGTCTCTACTAAAAGTATAAAAATTAGCTGGACATGGTGGCACGTGTTTGTAATCCTAGCTCTTTGGAAAGCTGAGGCACGAGGATCACTTAAACCTGGGAGGTGAAGGTTGCAGTGAGCCAAGATCATGCCACTATACCCAAGCCTGGGTGACAGAGTAAGGCCCTAAGGAAAAAAGAAACAAAACCCTATATATAAATTATTTCTCATGAATATGAGTATATTATTGCATCATACTAAGAGGCACATATTGTCTGCTTGTTTCTTTTTCTGTTAATATTCAGCTTGGTCAGTGAATTCAGGTGTGGTTATCATGACTATTATTTATAGAGTTCCTCTTTAAAGAGGTCTCTTTATATTTCCCCTAGCCTTTTGCCCAAGTTTTAGCAGCCACTGGTGATCATTGTCAAGATCCATTAATTTATCAAGGGTTGCAAGGATATAATTTCATTGTTCCTTCTGCATTTGTTAGTTTTGGAGTTCTCCTGTAAAGGAGAACTTTGCTTTATCAACAGTTACACAAGTTTATGTGTATATAATTTATAATTGTTTACTTAGGATGGGCTCCTGGAAATGGAATTCTTGGGGAAAGGGTTTTTATTGATGAAGGCTTCTCATAAATATTGACATATTGCTTTTAAAGATGGGATATCAGGCTGGGCACAGTGGCTCATGCCTGTAATTGCAGCACTTTGGGAGGCTGAGGCGGGAGGATCACCTGAGGTAGGGAGTTCAAGACCACTCTAGCAAATATGGTGAAACCCCATTTCTACTAAAAATATAAAAATTAGCTGGGTGTGGTGGTGTGCATCTGTAATCCCAGCTACTCAGGAGGCGGAGGCAGGAGAATCACTTGAACCCAGGAGGCAGAGGTTACAGTGAGCCGAGATCATGCCATTACACTTTATCCTGGGCAACAAGCAAAACTCTGTCTCAAAACAACAACAACAAAAAGTAAGTAAAAATGTGATATCAGTATACACCTCCACCTTTGGTATATGCGTGAAATGCTCTTCGTAACTTGTAGAGATAGTAGAGATGGGGCCCTGAGAGATGAGCCAACATAATAAATGTCTTTATGGGTCAGAACTGTCATCACTTGGCTTTCTCTGTGAGACAGTGCTAATAAATTGGTATTGGAATAAATATAGTGTGACATTGGAAATAGCTTCCAGTGTTTTCCAATTTGCGTGCATTGAAAATTTATTAATTTTCAAATTAGAAGGATAATTAGATAATGTTAGGGAAAAACACTACTATGTTTTCGTACATATGTAAGTAACATACATATTTGACTATATTAACCATGTTTCAAAATATAATAGCCCTCTTAGCTCAAACAGTTATAAATATCTTAATGTTTTCTTCTTTGCAGTGACATTTCTGGGGGTAAACCCCTAGAAGTGGAGATGGCAGGGATAGAATACATGAATGATGATCCTGGCATGGTGGATGTTCTTTACGCCAAAGTCCATATGAAAGATGGCTCCAACAGGTATATTTCTGGAATCCTTCTTTGTTTTAATCGAGAGGTACCTAAAAGCATCCTCACAAGTTTGATTCATTTTGATTCCTTTGAGTTCTTACTGTAAAGAACATTTTAATTCTTTCTCTCTCTCTTTTTTAAATAGTAAGTTAATCTCTTGAAAGAGGAATTTGTTGTAGGAAAAAGTATCAGGCTTTTACTCTGACATTTAGGATGGGTGTCTTACTGTGCTCAGGCTGATCTCAGCCTCCTAGGATCCAGGGATCCTTCTGCTTCAGCCTCCCAAGTAGCTGGGACTACAGGCAGCATGCCCTGAACCAGGATAGTCTGGTAGCCACTGAGTTACTTGGATAATGGGTGTTGATAGCAACAATCTAGTTTTTGTGGGACTCACTGGTTCCTTTGTGTTTTCCAGGATAAGAGGCAGGAAAGGTTGGTATTTTCGAATGGAAGTTTCAAACGTGATGCAGTGCAGTTATAGTGAATACGAGGACAAAATGAGGATGAAAACTTTACCAATTTTATAGGGTTATTAATCTTAATTTTGGCTGGGCACGGTGGCTCATGCCTGTAATTCTAACACTTTGAAAGGCGGAGGTGAGTGGATTGCTTGAGCCCAGGAGTGCAAGGCTAGCTTGGGCAACAGAGTGATAGAAACTCTATTTCTACCAAACCTCCCCCACTGAAAAAAAAAACAAAATTAGCCAGGCATGATGGCATATGCCTGTAGTCTCAGCTGCTCAAGAGGCTGAGGTGGAAGGATCACCTGAGCCTGAGGAGGTCAAGGCTGCAGTGAGCTGCGATCACACCACTGAACTCCAGCCTGGGCGACAGAGTGAGACTTTGTCTCTCAAAAAAAAAAAAAGATTACATAAAATGCTTAAAACAGTGCTTGGCACAGGCTAACATTATCAAAACATCAGAAAATGCTTACTGTTTTGAATTTTTGTTATTACCACACCTGCATCCCTCCCAGGGATTCTCAGTCTGCAGTCGAGGCGATTTCTAAGGCTGGCCTTGGCATCCAGAGCCATTTCCAATGTTAATGTCATTTATTAGTTGAATCAAAGCCTTTGGTGAACAGAGAAGCCGCACGTGCACTGGAAATTTGTTTTTGTGTGGTCTTTTTATTTAGGGCAGGGTGGAAGAAGGTTCACACAGAGCCAGAAACCTTCTAGAGAAAGTCTGATTCTCTAGGCAGGCTTCCACATTTATTTGCTTTCATATAGGATTTCTTATAAGGTTTCTCTTATCTTAATTTGAATTGATAATGGTGTCTTATCTTGGTTCATTTGGAAGCAAGTTTTAGGGGGAAGGGAGGCAAAATGGTATAGAATGGTATAGGAGCTATTTTCATGTGTGTTCTGTGCCAGATTTTTCTTTTCCTCAATACCTGGCATGTGCCTAAAGAGGCTTCTAATGACCTACCTTAAAAACCAGGAGCATGTTGTTACTTTATAGGAGATCACATACTAGGATATCCCAAAATATTTCCGCCAGGTTCAAATATGATATCTGGATCATCTACTTTGTGTTCTAACTATCCAAATGCCTTCACAGTACTGTAAAACTACAGTGTACTGTGTACAGGGTAGATTATTTTTGAACTTTGTGAACAGATACAATGGATCATCTAAGATGGCAATTCACAAATGTTTTGGTCTCACGGTTTCATAATTCTTAAAAATTATTGAGAATTATTGTTTTACAAAGAATGCTTGTTTTACGTTAAGTTGTATCTGTCAGTATTTACCTGATTAGAAATTAAAACTGAGAAATTTACTTGTTTATTCATTAAAAATAATACAACTTCTTGTTTATATAACTTTTTTTTTTTTTTTTTGAGACGGAGTTTCACTCTTGTTACCCAGGCTGGAGTGCAATGGCGCGATCTCGGCTCACCACAACCTCCGCCTCCTGGGTTCAGGCAATTCTCTTGCCTCAGCCTCCTGAGTAGCTGGGATTACAGGCACGTGCCACCATGCCCAGCTAATTTTTTGTATTTTTAGTAGAGACGGGGTTTCACCATGTTGACCAGGATGGTCTGGATCTCCTGACCTCGTGATCCACCCGCCTCGGCCTCCCAAAGTGCTGGGATTACAGGCTTGAGCCACCGCGCCCGGCCTGTGAATCTCTTTAATGGAAGACAGCTGGTTTCTCATAGCTGCTTCTGCGTTCAGCCTATTGTGATATGTCATTTTGGTTGAAGTTACATGAGGAAATCCAGCCTCATAGATACAGATATGTAGTTGGAAAAATGAGGAGTACATCAATGGTTTTTCCAGATAATTGTGGATATTTTGTACTACTATGAATTTGACAAGTCGACTAGTTGTTTTTGTTTTTGTTTTGAGGCAGAGTCTCGCTCTGTTGCCCAGGCTGGAGTGCAGTGGTGCAGTCTTGGCTCACTGCCACCTCTGACTCCCTGCTTCAAGCGATTCTCCTGCCTCAGCCTTCCGAGTAACTGGGATTATAGGCATGTGCCACCATGCCCAGCTAATTTTTTGTATTTTTAGTAGAGACAGGGTTTCACCATGTTGATCTCCTGACCTTGTGGTCTGCCTGCCTCGGCCTCCCAAAGTGCTGGAATTACAGGCATGAGCCACTATGCTCAGCCTTTTTTAAGAAAGATTAGTTGCATTGTGGAATCCAAAGCCGTATTAGTGAACTTTCATACTCTGTTAGATTAAAATCCATTGGTCTGTTATACATTTTTACTGGATCTTTAAGCCATGCCCAGTTTTCTAACATGGGTCATTTAGAAAATACCGGTTCACCGAGTTACGCAGATTTCTCAAATCACATTTCATTTTGCAGTATTTAAAATATGTTAATATCACTACCAATTTCATAAACATTTTTAAGCATTGGGAAGTTGTCAAACTCACGGTGGCAGATATACGTTTTCCATAATTCTGATTTTTACTTGAAAGCTCAAATTTTAATATTGGCACCAAATACAATTATTTTTCTTCACATTCTCTTGAGAAAATATCTGCCAAATAGCCAGGACTGAATAACCGTAATTTGTCTGTGGATCTTTCAAGTAAAAATGTTGTTCCATGGATCAAGACTAGTTCAACTCACAATTTAGGCAGCTCACAAGTGCATTTTTTAGACAGCCATCTGCTTAGGTTTATGGACCAAGTACTTTATTCTTTCATTTTTCTTTATTTTCTTTTATTTTTTGTATTTCTTTTTCCAAAAGGAGCAGAGCTTGAACAGGTGTTTTATACATACTGCCAGCTTCATCGCACAGGATATTAAAAGACATGCACTCAAGGGCTGAGGCTTAATAAAATTGATCATTTTTACTGCTTTATCAAGATTAAATGAAACTTTAAAAAAAAACTGTACAAATATATAGTGAATAATATACTACTACTAGCACAGTTGGATGCCGTTACTGTAATTAATGCTACGGTCCTGGCAGCCTTACCTACCATTGCTTTTGCACCATCAGTGCAAATGTCATCCTAGTGAAAAAGACAAATAATGTCATATAAATAGTTTTGACCTATGGACTCCCTAAAAGAGTTTCAGGGACCTTCCGAGAGCCACAGACCACATGGTAAGAACCACTGGTCTGAGTAATATTTTATCTCTAACATTTTAGATAGCAGTTTCCAGGGAATTATAACTAACTTTGGTTAGCGCCTACTCTTGCCTGGCATGGTGCTTAGATCATATTATTTCTATTTAGTCTTTTTAAAATCTTTGTAAGATAAATACTGTTTTTATGCCCATTTTATAGATCAGGGAAGTTCAGAGAGCTTAAGTAGGATAAGTTGTGTAGTACAGACTATGTTCCAATTCTTGTTCTTAGAGTGGGCTGCAAAATTTAACTTAAAATTTATTATTTTAGGCTCGGTACAGTGGCTCACGCCTGTAATTCCAGCATTTGGGGAGGCCAAATAGGTAGATCACCTGAGGTCAGGAGTTCGAGATCAGCCCGGCTAATGTGATGGAGGTTGCAGTGAGTCAATATCATGCCACTGCTCTCCAGCCTGGGCGATGGAGCAAAACTCTGTCTCAAAAAAAAAAAAAAAAAATCTTATGAAAATGTGAAGTATCCACTGAATCCACTATTGTAATCAAGCAAGAATATTTTTGGATAATTCTTACCTCTCACTGCTCTAGTTTCTCTTTTGCGTTGTCTATTCCTCTTCCCGAGAATAGCCACATTTGTATTATTTCAAAAAGATTTGTAAATTCCCCTTCCAAAATCTAGGATGTCTAAGGGACTTAATCACTTAATTAATTTCATGAAAAAACTATTCAAATGCCTCCTTTGTGCAAGGTATTTTGCAAAACAGTACAGATTAACACAGAAGCTAGTAACACATGGCCCTGTTTTTAAGGACCATTCAGTCTTTTTCTTTCTGTGAAAAGAAAGCTCAATACAAGAACTATGTTTAACAAAATACATGTTGTAATAAAAATACAAGCACTCAACTTTTTTGGTATGCTTTCATATATAATGTTTTAAATCAAAGATTTTCTTTTTTTTTTCTTTTCGAGACGGAGTTTCGCTCTTGTTACCCAGGCTGGAGTGCAATGGCGCGATCTCGGCTCACCGCAACCTCCGCCTCCTGGGTTCAGGCAATTCTCCTGCCTCAGCCTCCTGAATAGCTGGGATTACAGGCACGTGCCACCATGCCCAGCTAATTTTTTGTAGTTTTAGTAGAGACGGGGTTTCACCGTGTTGACCAGGATGGTCTCGATCTTTTGACCTCGTGATCCACCCGCCTCGGCCTCCCAAAGTGCTGGGATTACAGGCGTGAGCCACCGCGCCCGGCAAGATTTTCTTAAATGACTGAATGTGAAGTGCCCAACCTTTAAAAGGATGGAACCACTTAGATTAGATTTGTTGTCTGGAATCAGAGAGCTGGGACAGTGGACTTAAACTTACTAATGCATCTTCGGTTTGGTTTGGTAAAGTGTGACTGGTAAGGAATTTGTCTAAGGAAGCTTTTACATTAGCTAGTAGTCAGCTGTTGGGACTTACA